GCATTCAGCCTCCCGCGGGGACCCCCCACACCAGAGGGACCAAGGTTGGTGGTCCAGTGAATGCAGACCAGCCCTCCTGCCTCCAGCCCAGAGCCCAGCCCACCCAGCCCTTGACGAAATTGCCCTAAAGGCTCAGGCTTCACTTTGGACAGTTTCATCTTCCTTTCCAAACTCTGGGTCCCAAAAGCCAAACGGTTTCAGCTCTTGCCCCACCCCCAAGCCTGAGGGTCTGGCTGTCTCTCTCTCCCTCTTCCTCTCTCTGTGACGCGCGCGCGCGCGCGCGCGCACACACACACACACACACACACGCACACGCACACACGCACTGCAGTTCCACTGAAGTGCTCAATCTGCTTCTTGAACTTTCTCTTGCTGCTCTTTTGGGCCCTGGGCACAAGGAAGGGTAAGCTTTGCCTCTCCCGTTGTCGTGCCCTGCTGGAGAGGCTGCAAGCTTCTCTCTCCGTCACATTTTGGCAGCAAAGCCCTCTGCGCTCCCTCCCCCACCCTCACCACCCCTGCACAGCCCTTCAGGGACCCTGTGCGAGGTAATTGGATTTCTCCCCTTGTCAGTTTGCGATGAAAATGTCATGCATTCAGGAATGCAGGGAAGAGGGCTACACCCCTCTTCAGCGGCTGCAGCCCAGAGCTGGAAAGCTACGGAGGCCACCCAGCTGGGCAGCTGCGGCCAACATCCTCGCACCCACCCTGCATCCTCTGCCCTCGAAGAGCTGATCTGATGGCCACAGTGGGTCCCAGCAGGTAGTGAGGCCTGCCCCTGTTGGGTCTCCCTCCTCTCTGAGTGGGCAGAGGTGGCTCCCCCCCTCTCCCTGGGCCTCTGCACAGTCAGGGGTTCTGCTGCCTCTCTCCTCCCAACCTTTGCATCAAAATCGCCCCCCTTTGAAAGAGGCAGGCTCTGGGCCGCATCCCTCAGCATGTCTGAGAAGGTCTGCGGTGAGGTCTGGGAATCTGCCTCTGTAACAAGTCCACGGGTGATTCTGACATCCGGCCAAAGGTGAAATCAAGGAATGGTTAAGAATGTGGCCTCAGTTGGATCCTCGCTCCACCCCCTGGCTCACGAGGGGTCCCAGGGCAACTTATAAGTGCTCCAGGATATGCTCAGCAGGGAAATAAAAAGGACAGTAGTAGAGCGTGAGTCATAAAGCGGGGAGGGGGGGCGGGGCAGGGGCGATGTAAATGAATGACGTCGAGTGCTCAGCACAGGTCAGGCACACAGCACGCAGCAAATTCGTCCCGTCCTCTTAGGAGATCTACAGCAAGCCCCTCAGGGTCCCGGCCCACACAGGAGCAGCTGTGTAGGGGGCAACACTAGTCTTCGAAGCCCAGCACTACCCCAGCTGGGGGTCCCAGGTGCCTGCTACCTTGTGGCCACCTAAGGCCAAAGCCCACAGCATGGGAGCTGGGGTCCAAGGCACAGCGTCTGTGGAGGAGGTTTGGGGGTGGCCGCGGCCCCTGCTTTTTATGCCCCCCTCTCTCATCCACCATGCAAGGGTGAGCCTGAGGCTCCGAGAGGCAGGAAGGACCCTGATCATCATCCCTCTCCTTAGAGGTAAGGAACAAGGCTGTTGAGAGGCCAAGCGAACCGTCCAAGGTCACAGACCCACAAAGTAGAGCAGGGCCCGCGAACAGACAGGTCTCCTCCGGGGCCAGGTGGCCTGGGTGGGGGTAGCCTTCGCTGCCCGCAAGGTCAGGCACCCGAGGGCAGAGGCTCTGACCACCACACCAAGGCTTCTTCCTCAACTCAGAGCCAGAACCCCCAGTCAGGGACCTTGGCCAAAGGGCCGGGTTCTGGTCCCAGTCCCAGAGAGCCGGGAGCCGACGGAGGGCTCCCTGGGGAAGCTGGCAAAATGGAAGGTGCAATCTGGCCCCATCTCAAGTTTGGTATCTCTTGTGGGAAGGCAGAAACATGGCCTCCACCTGTAGGCTAGCTAGACGGTGGGGAGAGGCAGGGTTTGGAAAATGAAGGCCTTGGAACTTACGGAAGGCGGACCCAGGCACCCGGGGAGTCTGGGAGATGGAGTGGGGACAGGCCGTCAGACCCCGCAGCTCCACTCATCAGGTAACCCCAACCAGGGAGTCAAAATAACTCCACAGGGGGAGGGGGAGCTTCCCCTTTCCACAAAGGCAGCAAAGGCCTGGTGAGATCCAAGCTGCGGCTCACGTGGTGTGGGGGGCAGCTCTCCCCAAGGCAGCCAAGCCGAAAATCCAACCTGACACAGAGACACAGGGCTTCAAGGATTAGCCCTGGAGATTAGCAGAAACCTTCCCTGAAAACCTGCCCTCCAAGCAGCCCGGTCCGGGGGGGTCCTGTCACACAGCAGGCAAGGCAGGGGGTGGGCAGAGGAAGAAAGCCCCTCCCTCCTCCTTAGACAGGAGGTCTAGGAACAAGATGCCCACTAGGCCGAGACGGCCTTCGGCCTCACCCCAAGCCTCATCAGGACCTGCATCCGGCCACCGGGAGGAACAAGCCTCTGCCAGCTGAGAACCTGCTGGCACCACGCTTTCTCAGCGTGCGCAGGCAAGAGCCTCCCTGAAGGCCATTCTGAGGACGGGCAGGGAAAAGGCCCCGGATGCTTCTGCTACACAGGTGGCGCAACCCTAGGGGGCACTCTGCCTCTGCCCACGGGCCACGCCGGCCCGGCCTACCTTCAGACCCCGGGGGCTTTGAGAAGGGAAACAGCCCAATGGTTAGCAAACTGCCCAGGGCCCAAGGGGCACAGAGAAGGTGAGTTGAAATAAGAAGGGTCAAGAGGCGGGTTCCTGATCCCACCAGAGCAATTCTGTCAGGTCTGGGTTGTGTGTGTTGGATAAGAAAACAGAACTTTTTTCTCAAACAACTCACCTCAGGCCCCCAACCCCTTCCCTTAGGCTCACAAGTAGCTGGAGGGGCCTTGGCCCCTGGGTAGGTGTGGCCACCGATGTCCAGGCTCCTCCTGCACCCCAGGGCCTGCCTGGACACGAGGACAGGCCCCATGCCCACCGACCCCCCCCCCCCAGGCTCTTTCTAGTCAGGAGCGGGGAGGAAACCCCTGGGCTCCCCTGCCTTCCCTAAAGGGCCTTCGCTTCTCCTCAGAAGGCTCGGGCCTTGGGAACCGACACCAAATTCTAGACAAAAAGACCGTTCTCAGACCTGAATTTGTGGACTCAGATTCATACCCCTTAAAGGGACTTTATATATTGGGGGTTCACTTAAGATTTCTTTTCTTCAGAGTCCCACAGCTTTGCAAAGCAAAAAGAAGGGGAAAGCCCAGCCCCAGAGGGACATGTTGAGGGGGCAGTATGAGGGAGGGGGACGCTGTGCACGGTCATCCCTTCCCTGTGGCTGTGAGGCCACGGCCACATAAGCTTGGGGGCTGGCAGAAGATGCCATGGGGGACAGCAGGGACACCAGCCAGACCTGGGCACCACCTCCCCTTGCCCAGGCCCCACAGGAGCGGCTGGAGGCCAGACCCTCCGTTCCCTCTCTGCAATGCCCCCAAGGGCCCAGCGCCCTCCCCTCCATCACAAAGGGAAACCATGTTCCAACAGCTGCCCCCAAATAAAGACGCAGGAAACACTGAGAAAGGAGTCCTGTTCCAACACCACAAAGCTCCTTCGGGAATGTCTGTGATAAAGGCCACCAGCCCCCTCAAGGGCAGCAGTGGGCACAGGGGTGTTTTGGGGGGCAAGGTCCCGTTCCTAGGCAGCACAGCAGGCTCTCAGGAGGAGGGACAGAATCAATCTCAGTCTCAAACTACCCCCCAACCATCCCACATACACCCCATGATGGTTTGTTCCACTAGCCCTGGCCTTCAAGAAGCACCTCCCCAGCCTGCCTTCCTCCCCCAGCCCCAGAAGAATCCTAAGAGGAGGTGAAAACTCTGGTCTCCAGGCAAGGGAAGCCCTCAGGCTCACCCAGCCTCCCTCGGACCACCCGTGGGAGCTCAGTCGTCTGGTGTTACCCCCTCCCCGCCCGCAGGGCCTCCACACAGACCCAGGGCTTACGGGCCCAAACTCAAGGCCTCCACTCAAGAAAAGCAGGGCACCCCTAGCCCACACGCACTGAGCAGTCGGCACCAAGACCTCCTGCTTTTTAAGGAGAGTGAGCCGCAGGAGGGAAGCCGACCCCCTGGGCACGGAAGCCTCGCACCCCAGCAGTCCCATCGCCACAGCCTCATCGCCATTCTGGCCACAGGACTCCACCCCCCACAAGGCCGACATCTCAGAGTCAGCCAGAAATCATCCAAACATCAGACAAGGGGCCCGGGTCTGCGCTTCACCTGGACCCCCCCCCCCAACAGGCTCCCAGAGCCTATCAAGAAAAGCATAGAAACCCCGGACCCCACCCCCCACCCCGGGGTCAAATGCCCACCTCCACCCTGTTCCCAATCCCAGTCACTCCCAACCACCCTCCTCGTGTCTTCCAGATTTACAGGCAGCCGTACAATCATTTATGAATGTCATTACATGGATTCCATTTTAAATCTCTTTATTGAAAATGCCACCGCAGTAAGTAGATGCCAGTGAGACTTGTCATAAACAAAAGTAGCCAATTAAAAATATACCATTAAAACCAAACAGGGCTATAAAAGTCTGGAAACTTTTCCCATCTGCCTTAAGCCCGAGGCCTCCTCGCTAGTAACAGGGGGAGTCATGCGTGAGTTCCAGAGGCATGAGAACACGCTGGCACCAAGTTCAGGCTTTCTTCTTGGCATGAAAGGATTGGAAGAGAACTGGAAAGGGAATCCCTTTCTTGCTCTGACTTTGTGCTTAACGCGGGCCCAATACTACCTAAAACCGTCTCAAGGGACTGAGGGGATCCACCCAATCCTTTGGGAAGGCAGGACCGGAGGCTTCCTCTGCCTCACGCCTCACGCGACGGGAACGCGTGTTCTCTGAGCGTACCTTCAAGGCACCCTGAGACCCCTGTCCCTGTGCCTGTTCTCACCCCCCAGGCCCCAAAACTCCCTCTCCTCCACGCATGCCCCACTAGCTGCCAGAGGTCACCGCTGACTCAGGTGGGACACCAGGTAGACGAGGCCCACGAGCAGGAGTCCACGCACGCCAAGCATCATGAGCAGGAAGAGAAGCAGGATGGAGGTCACCGGCTCCACAGCATGGTTGCCGAGATGCCACTGCGGGAAGCCCATGTTCACCAGCTGCCGGTTGAGGTCATTGAACGGGGACTGAGCAGCGCCCAGCCTAGCACCCGCCTGCTGCTGGCGAGGGCCGGAACCCCCCGGGGGGGCACCATGGCCCCTGTTGAGAAAGCTCTGGAAGGTGAAGACAGAGAGACGAATGAATCTGGAGAAAGCTTCCCTGGCGTGAAGTACTAGGCAACAAGGGAATCTTCTGGGCTGGGCTCTGCCCTCCCCTCCAGCCTTCCTTCCTCAGCGATCTCCAGATGCCACCCCCGGGGATGCCAATCACAGAGTCATAAGCTCTGAGAGCACAGAAAATGCCACTCTATTTTCCCCAAGTCCTGCCAGGGAGAAGGTGCCCAGGCCAGAGAAAAGAGAAGGGGTCAAGGAGGGCGGGACCACAGGGCACTGCTCCCGAGCAGGCATTCATATCATCGCTCCTTCCTTTAACACCATCATGGTGTGGCCGTGGGCCCATCTTTGCCACCTTCCCCGGGTTCTCTGTCGGCCGGCAGGCTCTTAAACAAAGATGCCAGCTCCAGCAGGGTTAACCAAGTTAAAGGAGAGACAGCTGTTGGATTCAAAGTCTGAGAAGGCTTCCAGAAGAGCAAGAACTGGGGAGGAAGGGGCCTGGCTGGGACATAAATCTGCAATTTTCCCCCAGTCTTGACCCTGTGTTCCCCAGCCCGACGCTCTGCAAAGAGGGCTTCAGGCTACAGAAGGTTAATGACTAGCAAGAGAGCTTCGGGGAGCTAAGGAGTCACTGGCACAGAGGACAGGAGGCCAGCCGCTCCTGCCACGGGCGCTGGGCACCTACCTGTCGAGGGGTGCTGCTGCGCGAAGGGATAGTGTTCCTGACGCGAGGGTCGTCGTCCTGCACGATTTCCCCATTAGCCAAGATCCGCACCATCCTCCCAGGAGCTATGGGTCCCTGCTGGGCTGCACCCTTCCCCAGACCTGAAAGAAATGATTTATCAGAGGTAAAGAGACGCTTGCCTTCGTGGGAAAAGCTGCGATTCACACCCGTCACCCGTGCCCCGCTGGCACTGCGTCTGATTAATTACAAGGAGAGAAATAAATGCAAGTTATTTGACAGACAAAAATCTTTCAGACATGGGAGTCCACTGGGAAAACTACCAAAACGATCCTTGGAGATGGATGTTCTAGGAACCACTTCCAGCAACGCCAGGGATGAGAGCCCACGCTGTGGCCCAGGGCCTTGTGGGAAGTCCACTGAGGCCCACCGCACTTACACCTCCCGACACGCTCCGGAGCAGGTACAGCTAGAGGTCCAGAGAGGTCTAACCGGCCTGCCCAGGACCACTCACGTAGAGGCAACAGAGAAAGAAGGGGAAGCCAGGAACGCTGGCCCCAGGTCCTTCTCTCGGCTCTAAATATGGAGTCCAGGGCACCGAGATCCCCCGTGTCCCCATTTCCCATCCGTTACAAAATGGCCCGTTGGGAGTAAATGCCAAGGACCCGGGCCTGCTCCCCACAGAAGCTCTGGGCCCACTTTGGAGCCACTTCAGGTTCACTGCCAGGCAGCAGACCATACTGCTGGCCACAGGGCCGCCAGCGCTGGGGGAGGAGCAGACCTTTCCCGCAGAGGGCACGCCCTCACCTGGCCCTCACCTCTCAGATAACACCAGTACCCCCCCCCACCCCTGCTCACGGGGGCGGCGCCAGCCTTCCCAAACTAGGGGACGGGGGATGCGGCTGGGGCTCTGGGCCGGCCCGCTTCGCAGACCCCCAAGGGTGTCCGTGGGCTGGAGGTGGGGGTGGGGTCCTTTCATGGCGCTCTCCGAGTCTGTGTAAAGGCCATTCTTTTCTAAGGAGATGAGCCAGTTTTCACCTAAATTCTGAAAAGCACTTGTGACACGCGCCCCAAAGGGGGTGAGGAGCCCCTGTTCTGTTGCCCTTGGCCCAGAGCGTGGGACAGGCGGGTCCCCCTTCCGAAGCCCGTCGGTCCCTGGAGAAGGCCAAGCGGGTCACGGAGCTCCGCAGTCCCTCGGCGCTTGGCCACGTCGAGCCCGCTGGGTGGGCGGAGGCTTCGGTGGGCCCTCGGGGCACCTGACTCGGGAGC